CAGAATGCTTTAGTGAAATATAGGTTTGTGCAAAATCAGTTGATAACTTGGTGTTGGTACTGGACAGTGTTTAATATTGGAAAGTGTTTCTATTTTAGAACTAGCTGATTATAATCTCTGGACTTCTCTTATTATCTTTCAACATAAAAACAGACAGACTCCTAGGGCTCAGGCTTTCCTCATGTTTTTGTATACAATGTGTTCCCATTTTTCTGGTATTTGTTTTGTCTGCTGTTATTTCTTTTTTGTCACTCTTCTGCAATGTTTCCTCCATTTATTTGGTGTGTCTAAACAGAATACAGTTTCATTCTAACCACTTCCTTCCCATTCTTAATGTGAATTGTGTCATAAAAATAATTTGTACTTGAAGAGTTTCTCCTGGACCTCATGCAACAAGCTACAGTGATCATCTTATCTTTGACAATGAAGAAAATCTTCAAGTATGTGGACAATTTTACTAATTAGCAAACACCCAAGTCACTTTTAACACTAGCTTTTTTTGTAAACATGCAGGCCTAAGAGAGTACACGTACTCAAATGACATTATTTAAATTAAGTTCTAGATAAAATGGAATCCAATAAAAGAAGTTGAAGGCAGGACCATCCACTTAAAATGTATATGTAACTTTCTGGGTTTAAAAGAAATAATCAAAATGCAAGTTCTGAAGCTCCCAACAATTAGAGTATTATTTTGATTGTTAGTGCAGTTTTGCTAGCATATGAATGATTATTTCCTTGGGAAGAGCTAGCACTTGAAAACAATACCGTCATTGGAAAACCTGCCTTTCTTGATCACCTAATATAAATTACTAGTCACTAATATGAACAGTCTGTGGAAAGTTAATTTCAGAATCAAAATGATTAAAAAACAACGGTGAAGAGATTCATAGTTTCATGCTCTGAAATGCTGGCAGCATTCCTGGACATGTGCAAGGCCTTTAGAATTATTAATGTTTAAAAAGTGGTCTTGGAACAAGAAATTCAAATTCTACACAGAAACAAAAAACATCTTTTTTTCTACTCATCTTGCTTTTCACATGGTTTCATCTGATTCCAATTTTTGCACCATAATATCTGCTTGTGAACATTACAGTCTTTCTCACCTGTTTCTGTACGCTTCCAGTCAAAAATTTCTGTCCAATTACAGGCACTGAAGCCATCTTTCAACGTTGAAAGTGTTTCCAGTTTCAAAGGTAGATATGAGAAAGGTGAGAAATTGATGAGGAAAGGCACTGCAGGGAATTTTCTACTCACTCTTTGTGATCTAGCTCCAATGTTACCTTCCAGGTAAAGGACTTCCCCCCTTTCCAGAATACCAGCTGAATCTGCTCTGAGTGCCCATAACCCTTCCTGGGTGCTATTCGCCTACCACACTCTGAGCTCCTAGAGTGGGTTCTTCTCTGCTTCTTATTTGCAACAATAGTGCCTTGATTGATGATGCAGTGAAACTATTAACGTTTACAGAATAGTTAAAATGATAAGTGAATTTAAAAATCCACAAAGTAGTTGGAATCTCTCTGTACACTTACTAGAAGTGGCAAATTAGCTTAGTGTCAGATCAAATGCTGAGTTAAATATCCAGGTCTGAATGAATTAAGAGATTTTTAAAAAATCCAACAACTTGTGAACCTGACAAACATATTCTTCAAATTAATATATAGATGCCCTGGTTGGGCGGTTCAGTTGGTTGGAGCATCGACCCACACACCAAAAGTTGGCGGGTTCCTTCCCGGGCCAGGGCACATGCGTAGGTTGCATGTTTGAGCCTCAGTTGGGGCGCGGCCATTTGATGTTTCTCTCTCACATCAGTGTTTCTCTCTTTCTCTCTCTCTTGCTTTCTCAAATCAATAAACATATCATTCTCTGTTGAGGATTAACATTTTGTAAAAGTTAATATATTAGGCATACTTTTGTTATTCTCGCATAAAGAAATTATGCTCTCTAGTCTTTCGTATTTGGTAGTTTTCATGCTTATTTTTCAAAATTCTTGGTGTCAAGTGACAGAAATCATCTCAAGTTAACAAACTTAACAAATTAAGTTAAAAGAAGGAATTTATTGGCTCACAAAAGGGTGGCAGAAGAGCTGGCCTTAGGCCTGAAGCACATCAGAATTCTCTCTCTGCATTTTCTACTTGGCTTTCTGCCCTCTTTCTGTGGAGGGTTTTTCTGCCCTTTTTTGCCATATTGAATGGAGATCATGACTTACTGCAGCATTGGTTTCACAACCCAAGATTTCCATTCCCAGAGATGAAAAGTGTTTTTCTCTCATAAACTCTAGATATAAAATCCCAGGAATCATATGTGTAATGTAGCTTGGATTCTGTGACTCTTCCTGAAACAACTGCTGAGGCGTCAAAGATGGTTTATCCATTCTGAGTTACTTGTCTGCCTTTGAAATTAGGAGCAAACGCTAATGAAAGAAAAAGAATGATCACATTTTGGGCAAAGACAATGGCTAATACAAAAAGAGTTGTCACATTTTCCTTTATTTGTTTGTAAAAAACTTCTCAATAATTCCAACCAAGCAAAGAAGATTTGGTCCAATTTCCAACCAAGATGACTGACTAGTCAGATCAACATACCATTGGAGGCCTTCTATGGTGGTAGGGGTCATCCCAAATGGAATTGGTAAAGAAAAAGCCCATGGATCAAGGCAGATAGAAAAGTAAAAATTTCAGACAAGGGTTCTTATTCATGGGTCATAATGACAGTTGCCAGGATACTGGTTACCATAACCTCTGATACTGAGGTTGTATTATAAGGAATATACGTTGCCCCAAATATTGCTGGTTAAAGGGCATCAAGCCAGGCTGACATGGCTCAGTGGTTGAGCTTCGACGCATGAACCAGGAGGTCAGGGTTTGATCCCTGGTCAGGGCACATGCCCGGGTTGCGGGTTCAATTCCCAGGGCACGCAAGAGGTAGCCAATCAATGACTCTCTATCATCACTGATGTTTCTTTCTCTCCCTGTCCCTTCCTCTCTTTGAAATCAATTAAAAAACATATAAAAAGGGGGCATAAAATAAATGATTTATGCACCTTTTATTCTGAACTTAACTTAGTTTGAGACATAGTGAAATTTCTTAATATACATAGAAGAGAAAAGTAACTAAGCAGCAAAAATGTTCTTAGGACTTTTCCAAACAGATTACTGTCACATTGATAATAATCTTTAAGACTAAGTTTTGAGGCTAGGTACATTGTCATATGTATTTAAGTATTTTGAACTAAATTTTATTAAATTTCTACTCTTAGAAACTTTTTCCAAGTTTATATTCTTTAAGAATGACCCAGTTTTTTTAGATTACAAGACAAAATGGTGTGCAATTTTGCAGAGCTGGCAGAGTGGAGTGTATTAAGACTTTTCTGCTTATTTTTAATCATCTACTGGTAGAGTTTATTCACATTTAAAAAACCAACTTTAACTACTGTAAGACAAAATCTTTTACTAAATCTTCCTACTTAACAGATCTCCTGAATATTCCATTTGGAAGTGTGATAAGATCAGGGCATAATTACATTCATTTTTAATTCTTTGCACACAAGTCTTGACTGGTACATGAATAAGCATTTAAAACTACTCACTTTCTATGAAAAAAAAAAAAAAAAAAAGAGGTTGTTTTAAGAGAAACAAGCATCCAATGTAGTTATTCGTGCATGCTCTTAGGAAATCCACTTGAACATACAATCTGTCTAGGTTATCAAAATCCAGGCAGCAAAATGATTGATCGCTTGCAATATTTCGTTTTGTTTTTTCATTTTGCAACATTAAAAACAGTAAGCATACATCAGGAATAAACTAACCTATTATCTCAAATATCTATTTTCATAGGATCTTAAGTAGATAATGCTTTAATCATATAAAAGTCTCCAAAAACAGAAATCCAAGGCTCTTTTAATGACATTTTGTGTAAAAAAGGCAATGACCTTTCAGTGAGTAGCTTTCCTGCAACTCTGGCACCTATAGGGTTTGGTTTATTTCTGTGGACAAAACTTGTTCATTCATTACTTCAGCAAATATATTTAATATAATTGTTGGTTTCACAGAGCACATTATTTAAATCTCAAGGGCAAGCCAATCTGTATTCTGTAACTTTCTTCTAAGAATTCAAAGCCATTGATTCAGTCATGATATTGATAGAGTAACAATGAGTTTTTCATTTGCAAGTGTTAAAAATGACCAGAGATCACTGCTTGGCCATGTTTAACCAATTTGGATAACAAGGATGGTTTTAATTTAGTTCACTTTTATGTTATGGAAAGAAAACAGAATACATTTTCCTTGTATAATGATTTACTTTATATAAAGCAGATTGATACTATTAGTTCATCATGGTCTCATGACAAACATGTGAAGTAAACAGACAAAGTATTACAGCCTCCTTTTGTTCATGATCTTACAAGTGAAAGGATTTATAAGGTTAGGAAGCAGGTAGATGAAAACACCTGAACTGAAGTTAGCTGTCTACATCCAAGGTCACTGTCCCTGAAAACCTGTTGTGGCACATAAGTCAGAGAAAAGAGAAAACTTTCAGGTTTTCACCAGTATCACCTCCTACGGTGTCCCTCGACTTCATAAACTACGAAGGACTCGGCTAAAGAAGGACACTTAAGATAATTGTTTCCTCATTACCTCAAATTCCAAGGTGATACAGCTAGTCCCAAAAGAGCACTATTTGAAGGAAAGACTTTTGTGAATTCCAATGAAACTCTTTGGGTCATTCGCTTTTCTTGTTTATTTGAATTCAAACATCGACAGACAATCCTGGCAAAACAGGCTATTTACTCCCGAATTCTTAACTATGTCACTGATTAACTATAGAGATAGAATTACGTCTGAGGTTAAAACAAACCCTTGAGATTTGGTGGTTCACTGCATCCACTTCCTGTAAAATTGTAGTAGTTCATGTTTGTGAGATTTCCTCCAGTTGACCCAAAGTTACTTGATATGGAAAATAAACTATGCTAATTAACATCAGTAATTTCACTATTTTCTTACTTGGGCAGTCTGGGAATCATGGCAGTTAGCTTCTTTAGGACTTCAGTATTGCAACTGGCAGAAGACCTACAGAAGGAAAGCAATGCAAAATAAATGAAATGGCTGTATCGAATTAATACACAAAGACATAAAAACACTGGCCACCCGAAACCTCCCTCTGCCAAATGCATTTTATATGCATTTTAAATGTATTTAACTTTTTCTATACTAATATATATTGAGTTTGAATGTGTTCCTTTTTCCTAATGTGTTTATGGTAAATCAACCTCACGCAGTACTGGTGAGGAGCAGAATTTCAGGACTAGTATCATCTATTCACTTCTAGAGCCATTCATTTCTCATCACTAATCCTTTTTTGGGGGGCACAGTAATATTAGCAAGTCATTTACCTTAGCCCATGTAATTGCCATGCTTCATACAAGCTCAGCAATTGTGAGAAATCAGAGCAGCAGTCTATCTACTGGTAATTGAATGACTCCTTAAGATGTAAAAGAAATATTGGGTATTTTTCCTTTACATCACAAACGAAATCTAATGTAAATCCAAATATCTCCAAGTGCTTTATAAGATTTTTCTTCAACAAATCTTATCCTGTACTGTGCTTGAAATGAGTTGAAATCATTTAAAATGTCTATTAGATATTAAATAAACCATTTGCTATGCCATCTATGTCTAAAGGCTATGGTTGGATCATTTTCTTTCTTCTGAACATCTTTATAAAACGTTATATATCTGAATGATCATAAAGTATCATTTTTGCAACTTTGCCAATTTCAAAATTTTTCTTTGAATAGCTTATCATTGGTATTCTCCGTTTCCTTTCTTGACCCTCTTTGAGAATTGGCCAAGCAAATATTAGCTAAATTTACTTCCATTTATGAAATGTCTTAGCCTGACCATTTCTTACTGAAGGGAAATCACAGGACCAGAAAGAATAAAATTCATTTCTTGGCTGAGGCTCCAGTGGCATGGGGTAATATTAGATGAAACATAGAAACCGAGGGAATGTAAATTCTAGCTTATTCAGTTCAGCTGATTTTCTTCCTATTAAGGTGCATTCTGTTAGATAGTTTTCTTCCCACTTACTAAATAACTAAGCTCTGACATCATGAAGAAAACTGCAATTCACATCACTAAGGCTAATGTCACCCAAAGATAGCTTGCTATTTTAAATAATATGGAAACTGCCTTGGGATGACAGATAAGTAAAACAATCCTCTTTATTTTTAACCACTTTTGATGTGTTCCAGACTGAATATTCAGACAGAAGAATAATGGAAAAGTTATTTTTTCCCCTTAAATCACACCTCCCACCCTAAATTACTATTTCCCCACCCTCACCCCAACATTTTGAACAAAATCGAAGACTCCAACTCTTCCTCTTCCCCTTCCTTTCTCCTTCCCCTTCTTCTTTTCTAGGAGAATAGTCCTGGGCTTAGTTTCAGAAGGTCTCAGATCACTGGCATTCTTTCTAGAACAGTTACATACTCCCAGGTATGTTTCTAAGCATTGTCCTTTCCCTTGTTGGAGGCAGTTGGAGTTTTGTTCTTTGTCCAACTCAAGGCTAGACTCAAATATTAAGATGCTCTGTCATTTGTCTTCAGTTCTCCATCCATGAGCAGTTGTGTTGAGGATCCACAGTAGGACCACATTTCTGTCGCAAACCAGCAGCAGAAAACCAGGATCACACACCCAAGCTCATACCTTCCAGCTTGTATTAGAAAACATTGTCCCTAAACTAAGATCTTAGGCAGGATTTATAGATAACACCATTGTTCAACACAAAAAGGATATTTCATTTCTCCAGTGAAACTGTGGCACTCAATAGTCATTATTATCACCTGTCATTTTAAAGAACTTCCACTGCCATTTTTTTAAGGGTAGGGATGCTAGAAATTACTTCTCTTAGTTTCCCTTCTTCTGAGAAGGTCTTGACTCTTTCCTTATTCCTGAAAGATATTTTCTGCTGATATAGAGTTCTCAGTTGGCAGTGCTTTTCTTTTAGAACTTGAAAAATGTGCCACTTCCTTTCAGCCTCCATGGTTTCAGATGAGCAATCTGCCATATTTAACTTGTTGTTCCCCTATGGGATATGTGTTTCTCTCTGGCTGCTTTCATGATTTTGTATTTGTCTTTAGTTTCCACAAATTTAATTTCATGATGTCTTGGCATGGATTTCTTCGAGTGTATCCTGTTTAAGGTTTGTTTAGTTTTTGAATGTGTAGGGTTATGACTTCCATCAAATTTGGGGAGTTTTCAGTCATTGTTTTCTTGGACACTTTTTCAGTCCCATTCTTTCCTTTCCTGCTGGGACTCTGATGGTATGAATGTTAGATATTTTGTTATCATCTCACAGGTTCTTTACACTGTATTCATTTATTTTCAGTTTACATTCTCTCTGTTGTTCAGATTGGTTAAGATCTATAGATGTGTCTTCAAGTTCACTGATTCCATCCTCTGTCATCTTCATTCTATAAATAAGGCCATCCAGCAAGTTTTTTTTGTTTTTTTTTTATCAGTTATTATATTTTTCAGTTCTAAAAATTCCATTTGGTTCTTTTGTTTTCCCAGCTTTATTGAGGTATAACTAACAAATAAGTTGTAAGATATTTAAAGTGTACAACATGATTTGACATATGTACATTGTGAAAGGGTTCCCCTTATCAAATTAATGGACACATCTATCACCTCACATATTTACATTTACCTTTTTTTGTTGTTGAGAATATTAAGTTTTGTTCTCTTAGAAAATTTCAATTATACAATACAGTGTTATCAGCTATAGTCATCCATTTCATTATTTTATATGTAACTGTATTTCTCTGCTAAGATTTTTTTTTTTTAATTTTGTTAAGAGAATGTATAATTGCTTAGTGAAGTATTTTTATGATGACTGCTTTAGAATTCTTGTCATTTAATTCCAACACCTGATTCATCTGGGTGTTAAGTGTTTGTTGATTGTCTTATTCAAGTTGAGATTTTCCTGTGACTTTTAAAAATTATCTGCTGGAAATTTTGGAGATAATGAGTCTACTTATCCCCCCCCCCCCAAA